GCAGAAGCTGAAGCAGACTGCTGCCTCCCAGCTCGCGTACGTGCCTCCTTTGTAATGAGTCTGTGGTGCAGATGTTTTGCTTGGGTTTGTCTTGCAGGGTTAGATGGTGGGGGTTGTTCTCTACCCTCTTCTTCCATTGTTGCTGTGGTACCACTTAACCAGGAGTCCCTGGTGTGAGAATGAACACAAGGCTCCTGTCCTCATGTATCATGTGAACTCATATTCATAGAATCATAGAATGATTAGGGTTGGAAAATACCTTAAGATCATCCAGTTCCAACCCCCCTGCCATGGGCAGGGACACGTCACACTAAACCATGGCACCCAAGGCTCTGTCCAACCTGGCCTTGAACACTGCCAGGGATGGAGCATTCACAACCTCCCTGGGCAACCCATTCCAGTGCCTCACCACCCTAACAGGAAAGAATTTCCTCCTTAGATCCAATCTAAACTTCCCCTGTTTCAGTTTTAACCTGTTACCCCTTGTTCTATCACTACAGTCCCTAATGAAGAGTCCCTCCCCAGCATCCCTATAGGCCCCCTTCAGATACTGTAAGGCTGCTATGAGGTCTTCACACAGCTTCTCTTCTCCAGGCTGAACAGCCCCAACTTTCTTGAGGATCCTTTGGGTTTGCAGCCCTGTGTGTGTTTTACAAGCACCCAGAGGTTATGGCTTAGTGGGGAGTCTCCAGTTCTCAGTTGTTCCCTGGTAGAAGCTGGGCTTGACCTGAATTAAGAGCATTGTCATCATCTGAAACATGCACGACCATTCCAAGTTGTTCTTTCCTTACAGTAAAGCTTTTCTTATCTTTTCAGTCTGTGGAAGATAAAAGATCATGATCTGGATTTCAGCACTAAAACCTTCCCAGAGAAGGCACAGGAGATATTTATTGAAGCTCACAATTACCTGGCAAAGTAAGACCCCTTCTCTGATGCAGTTAGGTAGAACCTGCTGCTGTTTGCTGATATACTCTGCTTTTCGTCCTTGTCTTTCTAATCCTTGTACCTCCTCTGCAACAAGTACCATATCTTTCCCTGCCCTCATCTCCGTGAGGAGGAGAGTGTTGGGAATTTGGGCAGGACCCGCTCATTCTGATAAGGAAAAGCAGGTTGCAGGAAATCACCTGCCCTGCAGGAGAGATGAGCTGTTGCACCTCGAGTGTCACCGGCAGCTGAGTGCATGCTTGGTGCTGTCCAGGATCACGCTGCAGGGAGTTGTTGGGGTATGAAGTGATGATGGATCCTCACTTTGTGCTGAGTTGGCAGCTGAGGAGTTTGCCTTTTCTGTTTTGCCAGTAGACTGAGTCTTCTGGGAAGCAGGAAGCTGAGTAAGCCTCTTCACAATAAGCGTATTCAAGTAACTGGGTGTGTTTCACTTGCAGTTTTAACAAGCAGAAACTTCACTCCCTGGTGACAGAGCGCTGCTACCCGGTAAGTGTTCCTGTGGATGCAGCTTGTCCATGGACTTTAAGGCTTTAAACCTGACCATCTGTCTCATTTTGTTCTGGATACAGTAGAGACAGAGCTGAGAGGGAAAGCACATTATGAGCTAATGAATAAATGCTTCATTGTATATAGTACTGTGCTTGTTATTTCGAACTTCAGCAGTGGAGATCAGACTTAAAACAGATTTAGGTTAGATAGAAGGAAGAAATTCTTTACTTTGAGGGTGCTGAGGCGCTGGCACAGGGTGCCCAGAGATGTGGCTGCCCCATCCCTGGCAGTGCTCAAGGCCAGGTTGGACACAGGGGCTTGGAGCAAGCTGCTCCAGTGGAAGGTGTCCCTGCCCATGGCAACGGTTTGGAACTCGCTTTAAGGTCGCTTCCAACCCAAGCCAGGCTATGATTCTATGATTCAATTCCCATCCTCATTAAGTTGGTGCTTATTTATTTTTCCTTACAGGAGATGGTCCGTGGGAACAGGTACAGAACCATCCGGTGGAAGTTTGTGGAGTCACTGGAGCCCCCAAGGGTGGTTCACATCCGATGTGAGAGCGTTGTGAACCGAGGCAACCTGTATGGGCAGGTGACAGTGAGGATGCACACGCGGCAGGTACATCCCCTTGTGCTCCTTGTGTTCCCCAGCTGACTCCAACCTCCTGCCAGCCCAGCATAACTTGGCTCATTTGACAGATTCTGGCCATCTATGACCGCTTTGGGAGGCTGATGTATGGTGGGGAGCAGGTGCCCAAGGACGTTCTGGAGTATGTTGTGTTTGAGAGGTACTTGGCGAACCCGTACGGCACGTGGAGGATGCATGGCAAGATCGTTCCCAATTGGGCTCCTCCAAAGGACCCCATTGTGAAGGTAATGCCACCAGGAAAAGGCACTAGTGTGGGCCCTGGATAATTCTGGACAAAACCAAAGCTGAGTTTCCTGTGACAGGAAGGTGGTGGATTAATCTGCAAGCAGACCTGTGTATTAATGTGGTATTATCACCCTCTAGCACCTGGAAGCTCTAATAGGAGGCTGAGGGCATTTGTCATGTATGTAATGGTTTAGGGGGTTACTGCTCCCTGCACACAGCCTGGCAAAGGCATGCAGGCGCTCAGTCTTCCTGTGTTAACTAAAAGCAGGTCCTAGAGGGGAAGGAGGTGAGAACTGTCCTGTCATAGACGCATATCATCCCATTCCCAGTGTCCTTCCCCCATGCTACTGCGATCTGGTCATCTTCTGTGTGCGAGGCCTTTGCATTGCTGCTCACCCTTTTCCATGCACTATAACATGAAGAATTCTGATCGCAGCAGTTCGAGCTGCTCTGTGTCATGCTGATTTTGCTCCTTGCTTTTTCAGACGGTGCTGATTCCTGGCCCAACCTTGGATCCCTCACAAGAGTATGAAGAAATGAAGTAGGAAGCTCCAGAGCTTGTACAGAGACAGCCTGTGCAAGCAGCCCTTTAGGGAATAAGTGGAGAGTGGCTGTGGAGGTAACAGCTTGGATATGGCTGTGCCTTTCCAGTGAGCAGTCAAACAAAGCAGCTTCAGAATGGACTCTGCTCGCTAAGAATTTGTCTTTAAAGAACAAGAGGGGCTTGGCAAGGGGATTCAGGTGAGCTCTGAGAAGAGCTTTACTCCTTCCAGGTAGACTTAGTGTGCTGCAGCTTAACCCTCTCTGTGTTTTTGTGAAGACAAGAAGTCTGTTCTCTTCAGGAGTGCTCTCGAGGCTAACCCTGTCCTGAGCTTGCCCTGTGAGAGGAGCCCTTGGCAGCAGCACTCTATTCAGACATGGGATATTTGCCTCTGCCATGGGAAGTGTCATAGACCTGCTGGCCTTTCATACGAACTTGTAGGAGGTGTCAGCACTCTCTTTTCCCATCCTCTCTATAGTGATTCCCAGACAGAAAACAGGAAAGAATAGGCAAGCACACTTGAAATCATGTTCTCCTGGGTGGGTGCTGCAGTTGGACTCTTGCTGAGTGAATGCTTGTGAAGGGCCCAGCTTCCCAGAGGGGCTGCAGCACAGCACTGATAACTTAATAAAATCTTTTGCCTTCTTGAAAGAGCATTTCTCTTTGTTGATGAGGTTTTGCTCCTGAATTCAACAGTGGGGTGGCACCATCCTGTGGACACGATGACATTCCCATCAGGGCCCTGGTTTTTGCAGGCTGAGTGGGTTGGGAAAATGTGTACCCACAGGTTTCCTTTTTCCATGGCTGAGAGCAAGGCAGTGAGTCTGCTAATCTGTCCTTGCTCTGCCTTGCTCAGGTGAGTTCCATTTACTTCCAGTCACAGAGCAAAATACTCACTGGTTATCGGATAACAAAGCATTTTCTTTTTCAGCCTTGTCTTGCTTTTTAACTCTGCCATTTTCCAGAGCTTGTGAGTTAAGAGCATTGTTTCCTCCTTCTTGTACAGAGTGTGCTGTTTGAAAGAGTTATGGCTCCTGAATGCTTGCAGAGTTGTTCAGTGTTTCTGTGTCCTTTTGAAAGGGCAGAGTATCATCCCTATGCTCTGTGAGGAGAGGAGCCAGCAATGGAATCCCTGTCATCTTTTTGGGAAGTCAGAGGGAGGGGTGTCACAATCTGCCTTTCCTGAAGGAACCTCCTATACTGAGCCTTCTGCCTACACTTCCTTCATGAGCCAAGGAGGGATTCAGTGCTCCAGCATATGGGAGCTAAAATAAACCCTGGTTGGTGTCTGGGCAGCTCATGAGCAGGTATGGATGTGGCTCCTCAACCAGGACCTACAGACCAGGTTCTTTGGCTCTGGGTGAGAAGAGTGAGTTTTCTGGTGGAGTAGCTGTGTTTTTCCAGGGAGAAAGGCCTTTCCTTCCAGTCTGGCAATGTGGGGCTCCCCATCAGCTTTGCTATTATTCAGACCTCTGCAACTCACCTACTTGTGTTTCTGGGTTTCCTTTCCAGCCTCGCCACTTTCTGCTGTACCTCTTTCTTGAGCATGTTCAGAATCCTTCCCACATGCCATAAATCAGCCACTAAAGTGTGTGCTCTGTAGATAACATGTTTTATTTTCTGTATGTACACTTACACCATCGGATGAGCATGGAACACTCAGTGCTGAAGACCACAGACAGCACATGACACCAGCATCCCTTTCTAAGGAGAGTGCAATCAAAAGACAAGGGAACAGCAGGACGAGCCCTGAGCCTTGTGTGGATTCAGAGAGAGAGCCAAAACCTTCACTGGGGAAGCTGGTTTCCTCCCCTGCTACATCATCTTCCTGCCCTGGTTTGACTTTTCCCTATGTATTTTAACATATTCAGGTGCCTGCTTGGACCAAGGGGACCCTGCACTGTTCCACCTACCTGTGGGCAAATGATGGGTGGCGTTTGCACCCATTGGGAGAGCTTGATGAAGGCAGGAGATGTTCATTGTCCCCTCACTGTACCAGTCCCCAAGGCCACCACCAGAGACCACTGGAAGCATGGCCATGCCATTGTCTTTGCTGGACACTTCTGTCCCTGCTTGGGCTGTGCCATTGGGTTTGACCTTGTGTTCATGAAAACCATGTCTGCATCAGGCTGATGGCCCTGGCCAGAGGGAGCTACTCATGGTCCCAAGGGCAGACATCAGCTTTGGTTCCACTCTGAGGCTGGATGCGGCTCAGGGGCTTGTGCTTGGCCTCCTACCTTGGAGACACGGTGCTGGCTCCCAGCACCGCCTTTGACTCTCCCATCCCAGGGGAAGATGCTCCATCAGCTCCCTGTGGGATTTCCTTCTCTGAGCCACTGGGCTCTGCTGCTTCCCAGGGGCAAATCTCAGCTTTCCTGCTCTCCATGCTGTCTGATTTCTTGGATAGCTCTTTCCCTATTGCAGTTCTCAGGGATTGATCCTCAGTGTCCAGGCTCTCCCAGGGACAGATGGACTCACGGTCGAGATTGGCTTTCTCCTTTGCAGGTGTGCTGTGTCCAATCTCTCTGCAGACACCTTCTCTTGTAGGGGGGCTTTTTCTCCCTATGGACAGAGCATCCTTGTCCTGCCTTGATTTCTCTTTAGCCAATGGAGCTGCAGCCCCCTCCCAGGGGCAGATCTCTGCTTTATCCATGGATTGAGACCCTGGAGCATCCCAAGGACACACCTCTGCCTTCAGGCTCTCCACACTTGCTTTCCCTTCTGCAGGCATGCTGTGTGCAATGGCTTTGAAGGCACCTTCCCTTGTGGAGGGGCTCTTTCTCCCTGTGCACAGAGCATCCTTGTCCTGCCTTGGTTCCTCTTTACCTGATGGAGCTGCCACCACCTCCCAGGGGCAGATCTCTGCTGTATCCATGGATTGAGACCCTGGAGCCTCCCAAGGACACACCTCTGCCTTCAGGCTCTCCACACTTGCTTTCCCCTCTGCAGACGTCTGATGCTCGATACCTTTGAAGGCACCTCCCCTTGTCAAAGGGCTCTTTCTCCCTATGGACAGAGCATCCTTGTCCTGCCTTGGTTCCTCTGTAGCTGATGGAGCTGCCGCCACCTCCCAGGGGCAGATCTCTGCTGTATCCATGGATTGAGCCCCTGGAGCATCCCAAGGACACACCTCTGCCTTCAGGCTCTCCCTGCTCTGGGATGCTTTTGGAGTCGCTTTAGGCAGCACTGGGCTCCTGGCACTGGGATGCTCCATGGGCTGCTCCTTGTCCAGGCTCTCCCATGGACACGCAGCCTCTCGCTTGCTGCTGCCCCTCTCCAGGGCTCTCCCTGGGCTGGCCAGCGCTGCCTGGCGCCTGATGCGCTTGTCCCCCTTGGGCACCCCCCCAGGGCCCTGCTTTGGCTGGAGCTGCTGTGAGGGAGCTGCAGCCCCCTCCCAGGGGCAGATCTCTGCTGTATCCATGGATTGAACCCCTGGAGCATCCCAAGGACACACCTCTGCCTTCAGGCTCTCCACGCTTGCTTTCCCCTCTGCAGGCATGCTGTGTCCAATGGCTTTGAAGGCACCTTCCCTTGTGGAGGGGCTCTTTCTCCCTGTGCACAGAGCATCCTTGTCCTGCCTTGATTCCTCTGTACCTGATGGAGCTGGATCCACCTCCCAGGGGCAGATCTCTGCTTTATCCATGGATTGAGCCCCTGGAGCCTCCCAAGGACACACCTCTGCCTTCAGGCTCTCCACGCTTGCTTTCTCCTTTGCAAACATATGATGCTCAATCCCTTTGAAGGCACCTTCAGTTGTCAAGGGGCTCTTTGTCCCTATGGACAAAGCATCCTTGTCCAGCCTTGGTTCCCCTTTACCTGATGGAGCTGCAGCCACCTCCCAGGGGCAGATCTCTGCTTTATCCATGGATTGAGCCCCTGGAGCCTCCCAAGGACACACCTCTGCCTTCAGGCTCTCCCTGCTCTGGGATGCTCTCGGAGTCGTTTTAGGCAGCGCTGGGCTCCTGGCACAAGGATGCTCCATGGGCTGCTCCTTGTCCAGGCTCTCCCATGGACAGATGGATTCACGGTTGGGATTTGCTTTCTCCTTTGCAGGGGTGCTATTTCCAGTCTCTCTGCAGGCACCTTGACCTGGGGAAGGGGTTTTGCTCCCTACAGAGAGAACATCCTTGTCCTGCTTTGATTCCTCTTTACCTGATGGAGCTGGAGCCACCTCCCAGGGGCAAATCTCTGCTGTATCCATGGATTGAGTCCCTGGAGCCTCCCAAGGACACACCTCTGCCTTCAAGCTCTCCCTGCTCTGGGATGCTCTCGGAGAGGCTCTGGGCAGCACCGGGCTCCTGGCACTGGGATGCTCCATGGGCTGCTCCTTGTCCAGGCTCTCCCATGGACACGCAGCCTCTCGCTTGCTGCTGCCCCTCTCCAGGGCTCTCCCCGGGCTGGCCAGCGCTGCCTGGCGCCTGATGCGCTTGTCCCCCTTGGGCACCCCCCCAGGGCCCTGCTTTGGCTGGAGCTGCTGTGAGGGAGCTGCAGTCCCCTCCCAGGGGCAGATCTCTGCTGTATCCATGGATTGAGCCCCTGGAGCTTCCCAAGGACACACCTCTGCTTTCAGGCTCTCCATGCTTGCTTTCCCCTCTGCAGGCATGCTGTGTCCAATGGCTTTGAAGGCACCTTCAGGTGTCGAGGGGCTCTTTCTCCCTATGGACAAAGCATCCTTGTCCTGCCTTGGTTCCTCTGTAGCTGACGGAGCTGCAGCCACCTCCCAGGGGCAGATCTCTGCTGTATCCATGGATTGAGCCCCTGGAGCCTCCCAGGGACACACCTCTGCCTTCAGGCTCTCCATGCTTGCTTTCCCCTCTGGAGGCATGCTGTGTGCAATGGCTTTGAAGGCACCTTCCCTTGTTGAGGGGCTCTTTCTCCCTATGGACACAGCATCCTTGTCCTGCCTTGGTTCCTCTATACCTGATGGAGCTGCAGCCCCCTCCCAGGGGCAGATCTCTGCTGTATCCATGGGTTGAGCCCCTGGAGCCTCCCAAGGACACACCTCTGCCTTCAGGCTCTCCACACTTGCTTTCTCCTTTGCAGACATGTGATGCCCAATCCCTTTGAAGGCACCTTCAGGTGTCGAGGGGCTCTTTGTCCCTATGGACACAGCATCCTTGTCCAGCCTTGGTTCCTCTGTACCTGATGGAGCTGCAGCCACCTCCCAGGGGCAGATCTCTGCTGTATCCATGGATTGAGCCCCTGGAGCCTCCCAAGGACACACCTCTGCCTTCAGGCTCTCCCTGCTCTGGGATGCTTTTGGAGTCGCTTTAGGCAGCACCGGGCTCCTGGCACTGGGATGCTCCATGGGATGCTCCTTGCCCAGGCTCTCCCATGGACAAACTTCCTCCTTGATGCTCTCCACGCTCTGGGATTTCTTGGATTTGGCTTTCGAGCTCTCCATGCTTTTCCTAATGAGGTTTGCAAAGCTCTTGCTCTTCCTGTGCTCCTGTTGACGGCCGCCCACCTCTGCCAGCTTTGGTTTGACACCCTCCAGCCCTCTGATCCCCGGCTTGTTTCCCCCTTTGGATGTACCATACATGTCCTGGCTTGCTCTGTCCTTCCCCCATGGAGCTTCAGGCTCTTCCCAAGGGCAGATTTCTGCCTTAGCCAACGGCTCAGCCTCTGCTTCCCATGGACAGACGTTGGCCTTGCTGCTGCCGATGGCTCCTGCGTGCTTGGATGCGGCTTTGGGCAGAGCTGCGAGCCCTGTGCTGCGCTGCTCCGCACCCTCCCCACCATAGGGGCATCCCTGCTGGGTGCTCCCATTGTCTGCATCCAGACCCATCCCTCCCGTGCCCCCTGGGGCTGCTGCCTGTGGGGACATCCCGTTTTCCCCATGGGAAGTGTCCCCATCCTCTGCTTTCCCTGCATTGGATGCGGCTGCTCCCCCTTCCCAAGGGCGCATCCCTTCTGCATCGCCATCAGCTCCCATCGCTTCCCAGGGACAAACTGAACCCCGAGTGCTCTTTAGGATCCCTTCTGGCAGCTCGGAGCTGCTGGGATGAGGTTTGGGTGGCTTTGGAGCTCCCACCACCCCCAGGGACCTTGCCCTGATGCTCTTGCCCCACTCACTCATCCATCTCCTCTCTGCTTCCTGCCCCTCCTGCTCCGGCTCAGCCCCCTCTGTGTCCCAGGGGCCGGTTTCTCCTCTCGTGGTCCTCCCCTCTTCCAGTGTCTCCCATGGGCAAACCTGGCCCCTCCTGCCCTCCAAAGGCCCCTCCAGCAGCTCTGAGGGGTTTGCTGATGGTTCCTCCATGCCCAGCTCTCCCCTGGGGTGCTGAGGGTCCCCCCTGCTCTCCTCCCAGTGCTGGATCCCTGTTTTGATGCTGGAATCAGCCTGGTTGTCCCTAGCACAGACCTGTGCCTTGCTGCCCGCCGGAGCCATCTCCTCGCTCCGGTTCCTTGCAGGGACCTTCCCCATGTCCCTGGGACCAAGGCTGCTGCCTTCCTCCTGGCACCCAGTTCCTGCTGGGCCATCCAGGGCTCCTTGGGGCCAAATCTCAGCCTCCAGCTCCTCAGCAGCCGCTCTGTGCCCATCACTGGTGGATGAGTGGGAGCTCCTTGCGCTGGGTCCTACCTGTGCCTGCTCCATCTCTGTGTGGTCCAGGCAGGGGATGGACCCGCTGGGCCCCTCAAGCCCTTCCTTTGGTGTGGGCACAGGAGCATCATTCCCCGGCTGCACCATAGGAGCCTCATCCCCTTGCTGGGGCTGGGGCTGGGGCTGTGCCACCACCACCAGGGGCTCATGGGGACGTTCAGCTCCTTCTTGGTGACCAGAGCTTGATGGGCCCTCGTGCTCTGCATCCTCATCCCAGTGGGGAGCACCGTGCTCCTCACCCCGCTCCTCTCCATCACCCGCAGCGGCCCTGGCGTTGTTGTTGTGCTGGTGGAAGACCTGCTCAGAGCCTGTGGTCCCTGGGGGGCTTGGCCTCTCCCTCCTGCTGCTCCCCTCCCGCTCGTGTGCCCTCTTCCTGAGGCTCCCCTCGCCCTCCCTCTTTCCCTTTGGGATGCTTTTCCCTCTGGATCTATTGAAGGCTTTGATGGCCAGGCCCAGGCTCCGGAGGGACATCTTCTGGGCGGATGGTTTGATGCTGGGGGCTGTGTCACCGGTGGTCCCCGACCCTGCTGCTTGGGTGGCTCTTTCCCTCCGGCTCAGGATCTCCTCCTGGACCAGCTCCCAGGGACAGACCTGTGCCGGGATGGATGCTGCAGGCGATGTGCACCCCGCATCTTCCTCCTCCATCCCTGCTGCTCTTCCCTCTGGTTCTCCCACCCGTGCCGGGGGTCCCATGGGTGGCTCTGTTGTCCCCAGGCTGTCCCCAACCGCTGGTCCCCGCTGCCCCAAGCTCTGGCAGCGCAAGGGGGGCCGTGGTGGGGTTCTCCTCACCACCACCATCCGCACCCGCCCTGGGTGATGGGAGCCGTCGACGCTGATGCTCTTGATGGGCGCGTAGGTGACGTGTTTCTGCACCCTGCCATCACCCTGGGGGGACACATCCTGCGAGCACCCCTTGGCAGGGCTGGTGACAGCATCAGCATCACGGCTTTGCGGCTTCCCAGCTTCCTTGGGGGGTCCCTGTGCCGTGGGGTGCCCTGAAGCCGGGGTGAATGGATGCTCGATGGGCTGCTTCCCCCATGCAGCGCGGCTGGCGGCGAGCAGGGCTTCATCCTGCACCCCGGCCACCACACTGAGCGACTTGTACAAGGGGGCTGCACGGGGCAGGGGGGACTGCCCGTGCCCCACTAGGTTGTGGGCACTGGCGGACTTGTACACGAGTGGGGCAGCATCGAGGGACTCGCTGTCGGATTGCTCCGAGGCCGCCGTCACCATCATCTTCCTCCCTGGTGCAGGCTCCTGGGGGGGAGCAGGGATGGGTGAACCCCCCCGGACCCCCTCAGTGCTGCGGGAGCCATCATCCCGCATCCTCAGGTCGGTGGTACCCGCATTGAGGAGCTGCTTGGCCGAGGACCCACGGGTGCTGCTGCTGCTGCGGCGGGCGATGGAGCGGGCCAGGCTGCGGCGGGCGCTGCGCTGCTTGGGGAGGTGAGGGTTGAGCGCTGCCATCCGCCACCTCCTGTGCACCTCCAGCTGCCGGTAGAGCTTCTTGAGCTCCTCCTGTAGAGAGCAGGGAGAGGAGAGAGCGCGTCCAACGGGGCTGCACCCACAAACCGGTCCCCATCATGAGGGATGCAGGAGGTTTCCCCCCACTCTGTTCCCATCCATTCCCACCCCGTTCTTCCCACCCCCTCTGCTTTGCATCGGGGAGAAAGACTGCAAAAGGCACCTCTTACTCTGCAGAGCAAGCGTCAAAAGAAGGTCCTGAGTGTGGCACCCACCCGAATGTCATCGGGGTCGAGGCTGTGCTCGCTCCAGGCCGATGCGATGCTGCTGTTGAGGCAGGAGCCCGAGCGCCGCATGTCCAGTTCGTCCTCATAGACCTCGGCTGTGATCTCCTCCCGCAGCGGCGAGCCCGTGTGCAGGAACTGCAGGGGGACAAGAGGAGAGCTCATGTATGGGGGGACCCCCAAAACGCTGGGACCCCCCTTTCCCTGCATCCTTTGGGATGAGCGTTACCTTCGGGATGAAGAGCAGCGCCAGCGTCATGGTGACGGTGCCGTGGGTGTGAGCGAAGAAGAGCAGCAGCGTCCAGTCCGGGTGCAGCGAGGGGACCATGAGGAACCTGGCAGGGGATTTGCCACCGGTTCCTTGGCATTGCAGGGCATGGGAATGGTGTTTCCCTCGCAGCCCCGTGTCCTACCTGACCATGTGGAAGGTGGCCGAGAGCATGAGCTCGTTGTGCAGGGCGATGCCCATGTAGCGGGGCTCGTGGAAGGCAGAGGGCACGGCGCGTGTGGCGAAGCACAGGAAGCTGCCCCATAGCAGGAACAGCAGCTCGGCTGTGGGGCAGAGCAAGGGGAGCGATGCTGAGCGCCCAGCATCATCACCGTCAGTGTGTTCTTATGGGTGCTGGTGCTGCTACCCACTGGGATCTCCCTGCCCTGGGGCACATCCAGCCCTGTGGGTTCATCTCCTGGCTCTGGTGCAGAGCATCCTTTGGTGTATCCCTGCACATCACAAGGGCTCAGGTCCCATTGGTGTACCCTGCCCCATAGTGAGTGCTGGGGATGCTCAGAGGAGAGGATGGGAGGCAGCTCGGGTGCCCCAGCCCTGCTTCCAGGGCACATTAAATAGACAAGGAAAGGCTGTATTTATGGGATGGGGTCCTGGGGTGGGAGGGTGCTGCTCTTACCAATCACCATCATATAGTCCCAGTGGTCATGGCCACAGATGTAGAAGTGGAGGCCACCAGCAGTCTGGGTGCGGATCACCAGTGGGATGTTCTTGTCCACGTTCTCCAGCATCCCAATGGTCCAGGCCGCCAGGAACCACAGCACCAGGACCAGGATCAGCCCCAGCATCTTCAACACCCGCATGCTTGACACATAGGGCACCCGCTGGGCCGTGCGGGACAGGAACACCTTCAGCACCCTGTGAGGGGCACAGGGGTGAGCCCCAGTGGGTTCCTGCTGTGGGGGGCACAAGCATCCAGCCCCCCCCTCCATCCCAGTACCTGTACAGCTTGAGGGTGATGGTGCCATAGACGATGGTGAAGCCGAGCATGCGGACCCAGCGCAGGACGATGCAGCGGAAGATGCTGGGCTTGAAGTACAGGATGAACACCTGAGGTGGGGGGAGAGAGGGGTTGGTGGTGGAACGGGGATGGATGGGGACTCAGAAACCAGGGAATCGTGGAATGGTTTGGGTTGAAGGGGCCTTAAAGCTCATCCAGTCCCAACCCCCTGTGCCAGCGCCTCAGCACCCTCACAGGGAAGAGCTTCTGCCTAAGAGCTCAGCTCAGTCTCCCCTCGGGCAGGTTCAAGCCATTCCCCTTGTCCTGTCCCTACATCCCTTGTCCCAAGCCCCTCTCCAGGTTTCCTGCAGCCCCTTTAGGCACTGGAGCTGCTCTAAGGTCTCCCCTTCAGGAGCCTTCTCTTCTCCAGGCTGCCCCAGCCCAGCTCTCTCAGCCTGGCTCCAGAGCAGAGCTGCTCCAGCCCTCGCAGCATCCCCATGGCCTCCTCTGGCCTTATCCATCAGCTCCACATCCCTCTGGTGCTGCTGCCCCAGGGCTGGATGCAGTCAGTGCTCATTGCTGCCATCCTTCCCCCTTGGCCCTACAGCCCCGGCCACGGCTCTTGTGGGAGGATGGGGGGATTTGGGCAGGGATTAACTCCCACCACCAGCGGGAGAGCAGGGATTTGGTTTCCCAAGGTTTATACTGGAGCCACCGGGGGCTGTGCCAGTGAATCCACAATAAGGTGGAGTTGTGCCTATGCCCTGCTTGAGGCCAGCCCCACACCCTCACCAGGCCATAGAGGCTCTTACATCGAGTCCTATTCCAGCTGGATACTCACTGGGAAGTAGAGGAGGAGGGACCCGAAGAGGATCGTCTCCAGGAGGATGATTCCGGATGCCCGGATCCTCTGCAGGGACACAGGTGTGAGGATGCACCCATAGGGCTTGGGGATGGGATGGGAGCAGGGCAGGGGGGTTTGGGACACGGGGCCACCTTGCCTTGCTCCGTCGGAAGTGGTAGGAGACGAGCATGCTGAGGAAGATGGCCAGCATGCAGCAGGCCTGGCAGGACAGCACGGCCGCCCGCAGCGCCCGGTCCTCCTGGATCAGGCAGGGAGCATCATCCTTGCAGGTGGAGCATCCTTGGCGGCAGGGCCGGCATCCCAACAGGGACCCCCCCTCTGCCCCCGCTGTGCCTGGAATAGGATCATGGAATTATCATGGATCCAACCAGGCTGGAAAAGACCTTTCAGACTGAGTCCAAGCGTTCCCAGCACTGCCAAGGCCACCACTAATGGTGTGTGAACACTTGCAGGGATGGTGACTGCAGCCCTGCCCTGGGCAGCCTGTTCCAATGCCTATGGGGAAGGAATTGTTCCTCAGCTCCATCTAAACCTGCCCTGGTGCAGCTTGAGGCCGGTTCCTCTTCTATCACCATCACTCATAGTTACAATCACTGCATCACTCGGAGGCACTTTCCTTGCCAACGAATGGGCTTGGGCTTCCCAAATCCCCCCCCCAGTCCCCATTGCACTGGCCATGTCCCACTGGGTGAAATGGGGACATTTCTCACAGCACCCACCTGCCTGTGCTGTTCCACTGGCCCCATAAAAGCCCGGCTTGCACTGGCACAGGTACCTCCCGAGGATGAAGCCGCGGCTCTCCTGCGGGATACACTGAAGGAGACAGGCAGGGATGCATGGAACGCTCATCCCACATCCCAAATACTCCCCTTATCCCTGCATCCCCCCCGCACCAGCGGCTCCAGCATCCCCTGTCTCACAGGTACCTCCCCCCAGGCCACTCTCCCCTTGCCCAGGAGGAATCAGTGGTTAAACATTGAAGAATTAAAAGCCAAAGCTTGGCCCTCAAATCCCTCCCTAAACCCTAAATGGACACATAATGCAGCAGAGAGCACTAATCCTGCCCAGCCATGACGGCAGCGGCGCTGCCCTAATCCCCCCTGCCCGCATCCTGCCCCCAATGGGCTGTGCTGGCAGCTTCTCCGGGTATTGTTGTGTCCTGGAGACATTCCCAGTGCCAGAGCCCATCCCTCCAGAGGAAAGAGAAACTGGTGACGCCTTTCCCACTTGGGGACCACACTGAGCCGTGTCACTGCTGTGGTGTTTGCCCTGCTTGGGGATGCTGATGGTTGCGTCAAGCCCTGAAAGAGGCTTTGGCATCCCCAGTGGGCAGGGATGGGGGGGGTGATTGTCCCACCGGTACCCACCCATCACCGTGGTGTCTGGGCAGGGAGCACCGGGTCACTCGCTGCTGCTGGCACAGGGAGGGCAGATTTGCACGCTAAACCCCTCCAGTGTGGTGGAAGGAAGCAGATGGATGGGCCGGGAGAGGATAAAGCTCAGTTGGAGGGAGGGATGGGGGCCCTGCTGGGTGCGGGGATGGGGTGCTGGGTGCTGGCGGATGGTACCTGGGTGCTGTTGAGGTCGCAGCGGTGCGTGTCTGCGAACCAGCCCGGCCCGCTGGCACACTGGTCAATGGCCACGTCCCGCAGCTCGATGTCCACCCGCACGACACCCCTGTGCAGAGGGATGGGGTCAGCCCCGTGTCCCACCAATGCCACTGGGACAGGCAGCAGGGGAGGGCACAGCCACTGGGGTGCAGGCACAGGGTGCCCAGAGAAGCTGTGGCTGCCCCATCCCTGGCAGTGTTCAAGGCACAGGGGCTTGGAGCAAGCTGCTCCAGTGGAAGGGGTCCCTGCCCATGGCAGAGGCTTAGAACTGGATGAGCTTTAAGCTCCCTTCAACCCAAACCATTCCATGGTTCTATGGTTCTATGATACATCCCCCCTTGGAGTTGCATTTGGGGGAGGCTGGAGCTGGAGCAGCAGCTCCTGGCTGTGGATTCTGCCTCTCAAAAGGGGCTTTAAAGCAAACAGTTGGGAAATGGGAGGTGCTGGGGTGCCCCTGGTGCCATCCCGCATCCTGCAGGACCAACCCTCTCCCCTGAGTGCTCCGAGAGGGACACAGCATCCCCCTTGGAAACAGGGACACATCCCCTCTCCAGGACTAAACCCAGGAGCCCCCTTCCCTCCCCATTGTTCCCCTGCTTGCACAGGGGGTGCTGGGGTGCAGCAGGGACGCCCCCCCCCCCCTCCAGAGGGGCCGTGGCAGGGTAGGAGGTTCGGGGGGTGGCAGCCCGAGTGGGGACAAGGGTCCACACCGTGCCTATGGGTGTGCAAATACCCATACACAGGGATGCAGGCAGGGTGCTGGCAAAGCATCCTGCCTGCACCCCAAGGATGCTGCCTCCATCCGCACTCCCCAGCATGCACACAGGGCACCCTCCAACCCTCTTTACCCCCCCTCCAGCCTCTCTGGGTACCACTTACTTGAACTCAGGGCTGAGGTCTGGCTTGAGCCCATAGAAAGCAGCGGAGAGTGTGACAGCCCAGGCAGGCAGGAACCGGCCGTCCCGGCACTCGAGGAACGGAGGGGACCACCGCACATGGGCCGGGTCCCCCACGTAGCTGTCACCCCGCTGCCACTTGGGGGTCTCCATGCTGCGCAGGTCGTTGCTGAGCACCCGCTTGCGGAGGGCAGGAGTCCGCTGGGATTTAAGGGCATTGAACCACTCGTTGTCCCAGCTGAGGTTACCGAGGCTCGGAGCAGCAGCGGAGACATCCTGGAGCAGGATCTGGCCATCCCCCTTGGTAGCCTGCAGCATCAGCCGGGGCTTGGCGGCCAACGGGTGAGCATCGAGGGCCAGCACCGCCCTGCGCACCCATGGGTGCCCCTCGGCCATGCTGCGCACCAGCGCCTGGTACCACTCCACGTCCTCGGCCACGCTGGCCTCGCGGATGTCGTTGGTCTGGAAGAGCATGTTGAGGAAGTTGGCGGCGTGGGCCAGCGCCTCGGGGGCGGCACGGAGCGCAGCGAGCAGCGCCGCGGGGGGACCGGGACCCGCGGCCGCAGCCGGGACCCCTCGGCTGCAGTTGGCTCGGGCCAAGCGCCGAGCATCTCCCGTCCGCAGGAACGCCAGAGCCGCCGCCGAGCCCTCGGGGTCCCCCGGCTCCGCTGTGGGCACCCAGGGGGGTGATGGAGCCGGGGACCACCCCGCCGGACCTTGGGGGCTGTCCTGTGGGCGCTGGCCATGGAGCAGCGCCGTGGGCCAGCACCAGAGCAGCAGCCACAGCCACGGCCCCATGGTTGGGGCTCAGCGGAGCCCCCCGGCCCCTTGCGGCCCCGCCGGGGGGCACATGGTGGGCGAGGTGCCCCGGAGCCTGCTCGGCTCCACAGCGCTGGGATCGGGCTCTGCCGCTTGTTTTCCTGCCTCGGTGATGCCGGAGCAGACGTCACCAGCTCCAAAACGTGCTCATCTGCTGGCGCCGGGGCCCGGAGCATCCCCCCCCCTCCCCGGCTTGTCCCTGCGCTCCTGCTTGGATGCGGTGCTCAGGAACCCCTGGCCCTGAGCCCCATGGGGACCCCCACAGCCCGGCCCTGAGGCCAGTGCGGACACCCCCTACCCTCCGCCCGGAGCCCCGGGGGGACCCCTGCACCCCTCAGGCTGGCCGTGATGCAAGAGCATCCTGATGGGAAGCCATGGCAACAGGGCTGGGAGTATTCCTCCTTTCATCCCCCTTCCCGCAGCCCCCCTGGCAGCCGGTGGAGAATCGCCCGCTGGTTCCCCATATGGTGCCGGCCTCAATCCCTCAGTTTCCCCCTAACCCGGCGATAGGATGGAAGCGGGGCATCCATAGGGATGTCCCCATAGGTAGTGGGTGCAGGGTCCCATGGCAGGGGCTGATGCCCCCCCTCTCAACTGGGTGATGCTGTCCCAGCTCCCACCCAGCACTGGCCCTGTTGCAGAGGGGAAACTGAGGCACGGGAGGCCGCTGGGGCCGCTCTCCCCTGCCTGGAGCAGCGGTGACTTCCCCGGGCGGGAGGGGGCAGAGCCGATGCCCGGCGCCTCGCCTCCATCCGTGGGGTGCGAGAGCCGAGCCGGAGCCGAGCCGAGCCGAGCCGAGCCGAAGCCGCCACAGGACGGCGCCGTCCACTCGTGCATTGCCCGGTGCCGGGGGGGGTTCACCCTCCCCGCTCGCTCCCGGAGCTGCCCCAGCGGTGCCCGGCCCCCCCTTCATCCCTGCAAAGTGCCTCGACCCGAGGGGGCGTGGCCACATCCAGCGATTGGGGGCGCGGTTTGCGTCAGGAGGCGTGGCCTATGGCGGAAGTGAGGGGGCGTGGCGCGGCGCCGTGATGGTGGGTGGGCGGTGCGGCCCGGTTGCGGCCCCGCTCCCGGTCCCGGTGCCGGCCCTGGCCATGCGGCGGCCGTAGCCATGCACCGCGCCGAGCTGCGCGACGGGGACGCGGCGGCGGCCGCCGCGGCCTCCTACCGGGTGCTGAGCCGCCTCCTGGGCTATGTGGCCGGGCCGGAGGCGGGCGCGGCGGGCGGCGCCGTTACCGGCGCGGCGGGCGCGGGGCCGCTGGGCCTCGGCGGCGGGCGGTTACCGGGCGGTGCGGCGCTGCGGAGCTCCCGGCCGCCGCCGCAGCTGATGGTGTTCCGCAACGCGGCCGACGGGCGGCCGGGAGAGGAGGGCGGCCCCGCAGCGGGCGGCGGGGGCCCGGTGGGAGGCGGCGGGGAACTGCTCTGCCCGCGGCACCGCTGCGCCCTGGAGCCCAAGGCGGTGAGCGGCTGGGGAGCCGCGCCGGCGGGCGGGCTGGAGCTGCAGCTGGCGGCGCTGGGGCTGCGGCCGCCCGGGCTGGGCACGAAGGGACCCGCGGGGTGCCCCTGCCTCGGGCCGCCGCCGCCGGCCGGGCCCGCCGCCGAGGAGACGAGCGACGCGCTTCTAGTGCTGGAGGCGCTGGAGCCCGACGAGGCCGGGAGCTGCTCCGAGGAGGAGCCGGGGTCCCCGGGCTGCGCAGCCGCCGGAGCTACCGGTAGAGGAGGCCCCGGCCCAGCGCCGCCGCCCGCGGCTCCCGGGGGAGCCGGCCCCGGCGGCAGGAAGGGCTCGCTCAAGATCCGCCTCAGCCGCCTCTTCCGCACCAAGAGCTGCAGCGGCGGCTCAGCCACCGGGGACGCCGCCACCGCCGCCAGCACCGAGGCCCGGCGCGCCGGGGAGCTGCCCGCTTCGGCCGGCAGCCTGACCGATGTGTGCGGGGCCCGCGGCCGAGAGCAGGAGGCGGGCAGGTACGGGGGGTACCGGCAGCGGAGAGGACATCCCTCCTCCGGCCTTGGAGGAGCGGTTCGGGGGGGGGATAGGATGGGGGTTGTGGGGACAGGGATGGTTTTGGGGTGATGTGAAGGGGGATACGGGGAGCAGAGGTGGTTTTGGGGTGATGTGAAGGGGGATATGGGGAGCAGAGGTGGTTTTGGGGTGATGTGAAGGGGGATATGGGGAGCAGAGGTGGTTTTGGGGTGATGTGAAGGGGGATACGGGGAGCAGAGGTGGTTTTGGGGTGATGTGAAGTGGGATATGGGGAGTAGAGGTGGTTTTGGGGTGATGTGAAGGGGGATATGGGGAGCAGAGGTGGTTTTGGGGTGATGTGAAGGGGGATACGGGGAGCAGAGGTGGTTTTGGGGTGATGCGAAGTGGGATACCGGGAGCAGAGGTGGTTTTGGAGTGATGTGAAAAGGGATACGGGGAGCAGAGGTGGTTTTGGGGTGATGTGAAGTGGGATACGGGGAGCAGAGGTGGTTTGGGGGTGATGCGAAGGGGGATACGGGGAACAGAGGTGGTTTTGTGGTGATGTGAAGGGGGATACGGGGAGTAGAGGTGGTTTTGGGGTGATGTGAAGTGGGGTACGGGGAGCAGAGGTGGTTTTGGGGTGATGTGAAGGAGGATACGGGGAGCAGAGGTGGTTTTGGGGTGATGTGAAGGAGGATACGGGGAGCAGAGGTGGTTTTGGGGTGATGCGAAGTGGGATATGGGGAGCAGAGGTGGTTTTGGGGTGGTCTAAAGGGGCATATGGAGAGTAGGGTTGGTTTTGGGGTGGTGGGGACTGTGGGGAGCAGTTGCCTGCATTGATGACAACCTGGAAAGCCTGGGTTTGATGAGCCAGCAGCACAGGGCACGCATCAATGTGGCCCCACAGTGCAGGGATATACGGGGTACCAGGGCTGTGATGCCTTGATGGAAGTGGAGGATGAGCAGGTACCACCCTGCACATGGGCATCATGGTTGTGTATAGGTTCTGAGCTGGGTTCAGGCCTCTTCTAAGCTGAGGCCTCATCCGGAGCCCAGGAGAGGCAGGTGAGGAGAAACTGGGTGCTCTGGGCCTTGCATCCTTAAAGGGGATGGTGGAAGAACATCCAGGAGCTGGACCAGCGGAGGGTGACTCCAAGGAGCTGCTGGAGCCCTGGGGTGGGTTAGGGTTAGGGTTAGGGCTGAGCAAGGAAATGCAGCGTTCTGGGCATGGCCTCTGGTGGCTCTGTGCTGAGACCCAAGGGGATGGTGTTTCCTCTTGCAGAATGATGTCCTAAGGCTCTCCAGTGTCACCACTGGGCTCTGGCCTTGGTGGTGGTGATGGTGGTGATGCTCTGTAGGAGGATGTAGCTGGAGGAAGCATTGGCAACCAGAGGTTGACTGAGTTATGTGTTAGGCTGAAGGGATATAACCTGGGACCTGTTGATGTGGGACCGAGGGCTGCAGCAGAAGACACGAGCTGCTTGATGCTTGAGGGTAAAGGGGCTGATGCCTTTGGTGGCCTCCTATGCTCCAGAAACCACCTTCTATAGCATTTCCAGCAGCAGAACTGAGATCCCTCATGGAGGAGGCAGGGAGAAGCCTGCCCAAGGGCTGTGCAGCCAGCCTGGGAGCAGCATCCAGTAACTAAATGGACTTTGGGTATTGCAGCACAGCCCTTTACCTGTGGGGTTAAATAACCCTGTGTAAGGCTTTTGGGCTGTGTGGCCTCCTCAGTGAGGTGAAGAGCAGGGAGCTCTCCAGGCTTGCTCTGAAGATGCTGACCTTGGCTCAGGTGTGGTACTGGGGCACTTGCACAGCCCAAAGGGCAACAGAGGCCAAAGTTGCCTCTATTCTGAAGCAGAGGATGGGTTCTGAGATGGGGCAGCCTCAGCTCCCATCCTCGCAGCTGCTGGGAGTGTGTTTGAGCCCTGCCAAGCTCCTGTACCCTCGAGGAGCTTGTGTGTAGGGTGGTGAAGCAGCTTTGTACAACAGCTCCATTCCCCACAGATGACTGAATGGGCCTCAAATGATGACATTAATGACATAATGTTCTGCTAATGGGTTTGTGGTTTATGCCATCCTGGTGCTTGAGAAGAGCAGGAAGGAGTCCCCTGCACTGGCATTAGGCAGTTGTGTCTTAAGCAGGTCAGGAGCAGAGAAGCACCGTTATCACTGCCTGGGTCTTGCCTCTGCTTCAATGGTCACTTCAGTTCCAGCATCATGCAGCTCCCCTGCATTAAGTAGGTGATGTTTGAGCAGAGCTTGCTTCAAGGTGCCTGATGCAGCAACTCGTGTGGTTCAGGGACTGTTTGCTGCTGCCACCTCCACTGTCCCCTCCTATTCACGAGGCCTGGGTTATCTGAGTGATGCTTTTTGCTCCCGTCCTTTTGGGCTGTGGGATGGGTGTGATTGGAGCTGGCATCTCCTCTGTTGGGAGGCTGTGCAGGGATGGGATGGTCCCTGCTGCTCCTGGAGGTCTCATCAATGAGGAGGAGTGGTTTGGGGTGCTGGGGATGCTCATCCTTGCCTAAGCGAGTTAGGTTTAGGTAAGCCAAGCTTGCTGGGAAGGGAATGTTTGACTTCAGCACATGGTGCTTTCCTTTTCCTCTCTTCTGCTATGGCCTTTACTGGGCTTAACCCACCCCAGTGAATACTGTCTGCTGGCTTACACCAGCTCCATCAGCAACACGACCTCTCCTTGGTTCTACTCAGAGCTGGAGTTTATGGCCCCTGTTAATATAGGATGGATCTGGTGTTCCTATGAGCTGCTGCTGAGGTGGGCTCAGAGCAGCTTTTGGGTTAATTCATGCCTCTGCTTGCTATGGGGCTCGTGTTGCTGACTTGGAAGGCTCTTTGATGAAGGGTGCTCCCTTGGACTGTGATGGGTGTTATCTGTCCTGGCTCCTTTCTCCTTTAGACATCCATCTGAAGCAGAATTCCTGGTATTTGGAGTCACTGCTCAAGCTTCCCATCCAGGTAGTTGGAGGGGAAGGGAATGGATTTAGGCACCAATCTGTGGATGGATGGATGGATGCAGGTAAACCTAAGCTGCAGCCAGCATCTGCTGCACATCACTGGCCACTTGGTACCAGGTCCTGGTTGGTCGCTGCATTGGTGATCTTGGTTCTTCACATGTCTCCATGTATAAAACAGCACATGGCCAGCTTGGATGACTGGGTGAGACTGGTCTTGGTGTTAACAGGGTCTTGGGATGAGCGACAAGCACCATTTCAGCATCATTTGGATGCTGCAGAGCTTGAGGGCAGGAGGAGGGTGTATGGCAGCCGGTTGGTTTTGAGTTGGGAAGTGGAGGATCTGGTTCAGGGGCATCATTTCTTGCTCTCACCCTGCTTGCTTGAAACGAGGCATCTCAGGAAGTGATGGTTGTAAAACATTGGCATAAAATGGAGCTGTTTTGGTAACATTAAAATGCCAGCAATGCTCCTTTCTGTCTGGCTTAGTGGGAGGGAGCAGAGCTGTTACTATCTTATAAGCTTCATTGATATTAGTCCAGAAGTGTAGTTTTGTGGCTGATAAGCAG